AGACACAAAAGAAAACAATGGAATTAGGGTCTACTAAAGTGTATTAGTCTAATATCTTAACCGTTAAAGATAGACTGATAAAAAGATAGAAAGATAAGTCATTAAATTCGTGAAACAGATGTTAGACCAATACAATTATTATTTTTATAAACTGAGTAACCTTTAAAAAAAAAAAAAGAATCCACAGGAAGCTCCGGGCCGTAACCAGGGGGGAAACCAGGGTGCACGTGCACCACCCTCCCCATAAAAGCTTTAGGTCCGCTCGTCTATCTCCTTTTGCTTTAAAATTGCATGTAACTGTTTTTTGATTAAATGAAGACCACTTTGCATCTGCATATTGTAGCATTTTTAAGAATCACTCGGCTATTATCCCTTTTTTATTTTCTTTTATTTATGGTTMTGCTTTTTTTTTTTTTTTGCCTGTGCACCTCCTCCCCTGAAGATCCTTGGTTACGCCCATGAAGTTGATGTGGACGAATTTGACTCATGTTAACCTGGAAAATGCATTTTTTTACCCGGCGGCGTTTGAAGTTTTTTTATTGTTTAAACTAGAGATTAGCTCCAACAGCTATGCATCCCGCTAGCGTGGCTCCCCGCCAGTCAATACCCTCATCACTGACGTATATGCCATACTTACTTCGTAAGAAGCCAACGTCTGCGCAAAGAATGACAAGGAGAGCAGAAATAGTACGAACTGAAAATCATAAAATAAAAATTACAAAAGGACAAGTTGAAAACGGAGTAGCTTCTTAGGAGTTCTATATAACATTTATTTTGTTACTACATTAAAAGTTAATTGAATCATGAGGAGAAATAATTTATCATACGTACGAATCATGCAACGCTACTAGTTTGTTTAGTGTTTCGYCTGACGTGATGGGTAAACTACTTACCACCCTTACCAGCTATTCCAGCCATGTCTTGGTGTACACAAGACCGTCCTAAGGGTTTTTACGCTCACCAATAGATTGAATTATCAAGTAAGTTTATATCGCTCCTCACTTCGCCTGCGCACGGCAATAACAAGCTAAAACATCGATATGGCTCACAAGTTATATATGAACAGGACGCCAACTGTGAGAGACGGACACTATATATATATATAGCATTACGGTTTAAAGGATTAGGAGTGACTTGATACTCATGATCACCATGAACTTGGCCAGAACCCGCTATAGACCCCTCGTAGCACGTCGGAATGCAGCCCAATTTGGAGAACATAACAATAGGTTTCCAATTCTAAGATTGAAATTATTTGGTTTTGTCCTCCATATTGAGCGGCTTTGACGTCATAAGAAGGGGGTCTATTGAGAGGCGTAAAGAATGAAGAATACAGGCAGCTACAATAGGAATGAAATAAAATGGAAATGAAGGGAGAGCAAAGGACAGGAAAGGAAAGGAAAGGAAAGGAAAGGAAAGGAAAGGAAAGGAAAGGGGGAGAATCATATCGTGGTTGGGGTTCCTGTGTTGCTGTTAGTCACGTGCTCTTGATCTTGTCAGAAACAAGATGGCGGAAGGTTGCTTTTGGTTTTGTGCTGCAAAATTCTCTCAAATACTTCTTTCRATTTACTCGACAACTGCATCTTAAGGTAAATCAATATTCTCTCTTAGCTTGTAGTGTTTTTACTGGGGTAATTTAAAGATATAGTCAAGATATTTCAGTTTATTGTTACCCCTGCGAGCAGAGGATTTTTTAAAACCCTCTCCCATCTCCAAACCCTGTTTTTTTCCTCTCCCCGACCGTTGGGAGATGGGAGAGGGTTAAAAAAAAATCTGCTGCTCCCGGGGTATGGGAGCCGTGATCTTCCAGTGAGAAGGGGAGTTATATTACTCCCTTTGTRTCAAGTGAAATGATTGAAAACGACACATGAATGAAAACAAAAAATTCTTATAATGATAAATCCAATGGAATCCATTCAACATGACTTGAACAACTCTTTTACTGTGCGACTACACCAACCAAGGTCACCCAGACAAAGTTTCATAYGAATATTCCCCTTCACAGTTCCCTGCGCCATCTTGAAAGGTAGCCGTGCCTTTGCGTACGCAAGRCAAACAGTGAGCTTAACCGCCACCCGGTTAGCTCAGTTGGTAAGAGCGTCGGTCTGTTGTGCGGGAGGTGGTTGTTCAAGCCTTGGCCGGACCWACACTCAGGGTCTTAAAATAACTGAGGAGAAGGTGCTGCCTTTGTAATTACATCTGCAAATGGTTATAGACCTTCACGTGGCTCGGATGATCACTTTAATGGCGGTCCCGTCCCTAATTAACTAGAGACGTTAACAGAGGACCACAAGTTTATCAGTTGAATTACTGTCAAGTGTTATCCTCTATAAACAAAGTTAATTATTATTATTATTATTATTAGCTTGCAATGATAGAGACCTTTTTTAACACCTTGCACAATTATTTGCATGTCTCTATCATTGCAAACTCACTGTTCGTCTTGCTTCGATGCAAAGGCATGGCTACCTTTCAAGATAGCGCAGGGAACTGTGAAGGAGACTATTAGCCAATCACGACTTAGTATKTAAATAATGGAAACATATTTTACTTTATGTGCATGTGTGTATGATCAAAAGTGAACAAGAAATAGTCTACCCWGAATTCACTAATTTATCTGTTATGCAGCGTTAAAAAAGTAATTTGTGAATTTGATATAAAATTTGTTTGGGTGGTCTTGGTTGATGTGGTCGCATTGTAATATATGCACACCTTTTAGATATCATTTTCAAAATCGACTGGAGATCACCCCTACCATTTGAAGAAAGGGAGAACCCCACTCACCCCTCCCGGGCATCTATTATGTACACTTTATTATATTTAATACRACTGTACTATACTGCATGGTCTGGGTTGTTCAAAAGCTTGATTAAACTAATCTAGGAATAGGCCTAAACCAAGATTAAATATTCTAATCATGGGTTATTTAATCCGTGGTTTAAATACCATTGTTCAAAGCTAGAGCTATAAGTTGGTTGATTAAAGTGCACCTAATCCATGATACGATACTTTCAGTATTGATTCTACATAATATGAATAGCTGAATGGTGAAATATTTCTTCATTTGAATGTTGTGTCTTTAAGGTATGAAGGTTTTTACCTCCATTATGTTACYGACTGTGACGTCACCGCTTTTAAGTGTATTTGTTTTAATTTTTATTACTAAACACTAGCCCTTATGAGGCATCATAATTACAATGAACATTGTAGAAACCTTGAGTATAATAATGATTATTTTTAAAAACTGTTTCTATGAACCGGTCAAAATTTGTATATTTAATGAAGCCTGGGGTGACGTCACAGTCAGTATCATATTGGAAGTATAAACCTTCATAACTTAAATATGCAGCATTCAGACAAATAAATATTTCACCATTCAACTATTCACTATTTAATTCTAGATGAACACTAATCGTGCTTTGAACAGCAATATATTCCCAGTTTAAAATTTAAACTCCCATTAGGCTATTTAATCCTAGATTAGCACTAATCGAGCTTTTGAACAATTGGGCCCTGTATTTTAGGGTAATAGACTATACTACGGTTTTACTGCGCTTCTACACTGTTAAATTATTCGTGTAAGAGTAGAGGATTGTCTCCTGGTTCAATAGCCTATCCCATAGGCATAACACTAATGTACTWATAAATCACTCATGATTGTAAGCTGCACAGCTGCTAATAGCGCCTTAATATGCAGTCCGTRAACTCCTCCACTGCAATGTAAAGCGCATTGAGACATTGTGAAATGCGCTATATAAGAACCCCATTATTATTATTGACTGTAATACCTTGTTATATTGTTATACTCTGATAGATATATCTTTAGKGACATAAAGCACAACCCCCTCCTAATGATAAAATGATGATGCTTCCCATGACTAGCATTTGGCAGTGAAATAATTTGTTTTAATTAAGCATTGTCATGGTTATTTTCAATGTTGCCAAATGATGGCTATATATTTTTTAGGAAAAYAATTGCCCTCCCAAAAAAATGCTAAAATTAGRAATTTTACCTACCAAGTTTAAAAATAATGGCCCTTTCTTGAACAATGTTGGGCTAGAATAGAACCCTTGCATGTGACGCCAAAGCAGCTCAATTTGGAGKATAAARCAAAAACAATTCAATCTCCTGAGAGGTGGWAACCTATTTYTAAGTTCTCCAAATTGAGCTACATTCTGACAAGCTGTAARGGGTCAATTGGAACTTGCCCAGTCAAATCTTTGCCTTTCTGGTCGTTTTGACCAGTAACATTGAGCCAGAAACAAGATATACTGAGCTGAAACTAATTTGGCCTGTATAATCATGACTGGTGACTGACTGGTACTTATTTGGTAAAAAAACTAATATTGGTAAAAGTGGTCTATGTTCTGGTGAACCATTTTTCAATGAACCCTTCTCAATATTATCTTGGGTAATATGAAAATTATAGAAATTAGACTTTCTTTTATGGAAGTTGTGGCATTTCTTTTGTACTGTATCATTGTAGTAACTCATATTCAGTCCATGCCTAAACTCAAACCTTTTTTCATTTTTGTCTTTTTTTCTATTCCCCAGCTATGAGTAATCAGGCAATGGACAACTTGCACTGACAGGAACAAACTTTGGGAATGAAAAGAGCAGCTCAACATTAGTAAGGGGGTGAAGTTTCAGCTCATAATGTTGACTATAGGATAAATGGCATTAAATATAAAATGGAGCAGCAGTAAGGGGGACTCGCGGTCACCCCTCGGAATTACACGGATATTCCCCGTGCTCACGTAACAGCGTCCGAGTCGGGTATTACCCGCGCGCTGATTCCCTTACTGCTGCTGGGTACCGTAAATGGAGGTTAAGATATTTTGTTGGATATACGATGCATGAATGTAAAAAG